CGAGGGAGAGGGTGGGACGGGGAGAATACACACACGCGGAGGAGACGGGTGGATGCAAGCTCATCCTCTGCCTTGTGCAACTCGTATGTTGGTGTTGGAGATATTATGTAAATTCATGTTCCTGCTCTGTGGTTCTGTGCGCTTCTGTACGTGAGTGAGCTGTGAGGCAGTTTTAAAAATGCCTGACAGAACAGGTTCCTGCCGCAAAGTCGGGGGCTTCAGTGTGAGTGTGTGTGTATGTGTGTGTGTGTGTGTGTGTGTGTGTGTGTGTGTGTGTGTGTGTGTGTGTGTGTGTGTGTGTGTGTGTGCCGTGCTGATGTTGTTGTTGTGTGTGTGTGTGTGTGTGTGTGTGTTTGTGTGTGGCGCAGAAGAAGAGGAGTTTAAATGCAGACATTTTGCACCCTGGCACCCTGTTGAGAGGAGACATGACCAGCAGAGTGCCGTCCAAGTCTGACGCACAGCATCAGACTGTTTCTCTGCTCCCGGATGAACCTGCACGCAAACTTACAGCAGCTGCGACACACTTCGACCTGTGTTTCCCACTAATGTTTGTATACTGGCATCAGTCATGACCAAGCCTCCTCTGGAGGACATAATCAAAAGATCGGCTCCACTAAATGTAGTTATAGTAACGCAGCGCCAGGAAATAGCGTATTAACGAATCGGGATTTTTTATTTACTTGTTTATTTAATTATTTTGGCATAATGCAGCTTAGTGTATCTTCAAACTGTTTGATGATATAGTAGTAAAACATATTATTGTTCCTGATTAACAAACTACGTGACCACCTGTAGCCATTTAAAAACAACAACATAAATGCATTTATCTGAAACACCTGCGTTTCTCTTATGATTGAGGACAAAGATGCTCAGAAATGGATGATTATGTCTTGAAACGTGTTTTCAAATCGCTTATTGGAAACCAGCCCCACCCCCGTGTTGTTATCAGATGGAAGTATGTTAAAATATAAGGAGATATATATATATTTAAAGCACAGTTCTGTGTGGAAAGAGGTCTATCCATATAAGAAGGTGATGATTTGTATTGTCGTTCATATTACAACAAATACACGCTTCTCAAAGGACATGGTGCGGACATTAGAGACTTTTATCAGTACAGAGTGAATGTAGCCAGGCCATTTTCCTTGTAAATTCCCCAAATCTCCGTATATTTTCCACAGAGAAGTTGCTATAAAAGGAATCTAAAAGTAGGATTGATTGTTTAATGCTAAAATAATTTTTTTTAAATCAAATAAAACTAGCCTACGGTTTTAGAAATCCCATCAAGAATGAGGAAAATTCTTTTTAATTTTCCAGAAATGTTTAGAATATTCGTAAAGCCACGCTCGGTTTGAGTAAGAAGTGCTTTGGATTTAAAAGGCTGCTTCGACCATCGTTAGCACGGTTTTGTTGTCATAAGTGGAGTATCGTCAAAGTTACAAGGGGTAATTGGGCGGCACATGGGCACCTTAATGTAAAGTGATGCCTTATTAATCTCACATGAGTGCACGAGGGAGAGGCAGCTGATTTTACCCCTGAGCAAGGCAGCAGGTCCGGCATCTGCTGCTCGGACATAATGGCAATCTTATTAATTGGTGAAAAATAAAAACTGAAGTCTTCGATTAATGGGAACAAAATTCAAGTCGTTTTATAAAGCGGCTCTAGCTCCGAGGTTTATTATTTTATTTAAATAACTTTAAAAAATGGAGACCTTAATTGTTCTTCCACCAGATTAGACACTTTGCCAAGCTAGGAGATGGTGTCTAGTTAATGCAGTCTTGGTTTCTGGCCTGGATGTCACTGAGAAAGGTGGAAACAGATCATTGAAACAGAACAGTTTCTGGCCCTCAGAATAAGCACATTAAAACGAGATGGTCTGTACAGCCCTGGCAGCCTTCTTTGGTAATTTACTTTGTACAAGCAGCAGACTTATGTTTTCCTTGAAGAAATAACTCCATGGGGAATTTAAATAGCTTATTCAAATAAACAATCATTTGTAAGATATATCTACACAATTTGTCTATACGGCTAAAGTGCCACAGACATGGGCCATATGGAAACCAAATATGTTTTTAGGTTTGCTTAAATCAAAGGCCTTAGCCCGAGTTCATCCAGGAATTATAATTTTATTCAGTATTGATTGAGGTGGTGTGGTGCGTTTCAAGGCTTACTTCAAATACGCTGTAAAGGCCAGCCACTAACACTGCAATGCACATTTATAGAAAATAGCGCAGATAGCAGTCATTTCATTCCTTCTCCAATATTTCCAACATTTCATTTTAATACGCTGTTCTTTATTTTAGGGAAGGGCTTTGAGGATAAATCACAGGATAGATTTACAGAGCAACGATATTTATGGAGCTCGAGAGTTTAAAGGTGAACCAGTAAATTCGTTTATTAGTTTAAAAGGAGAAAAACGAGAGCAATGTGATTTATTTTCAAAAGGCTAATTCATTTTCCTCATGTATGCATCCGGCAGACGGGCCAAATTCGAGTGGCCCTCGTTTATAAAAGTTGAGTTTCACCAGATGCCATTTAGCAAAGGTTTATTCCTAAACAAGCTGTAATTGTCATTTTGAACATCTATAACGCTTGCAACGCCGTGTCACTTTGCAGAGCTGCAGAAATATTGATCCACAGTCCTCTCTGCGAGGCATTGTTTCGGCTCGGATGTGGGCTTCATGAGAACGACGCCCCTGATTAATAATCAGTGTGAAACCTGGAGCCCAGTTGACAAGGTGCCTCCAGGTGCCCGTCGCCTGGCTTCACTTTGCTCTGGCTCATACGTATTTACCCGGCTATGATATCATGAAAACGAAAAAATGTATTTTTCCAGGTTCTGTATATACACATGCAGGCTATGCGAGCCGTTACTTGCTGATCCCTGCTTCTGTTTGCTTTGTGCTAATTGAATTGAATTCCGCTTGAAAGGTATCCTCTTTCAGAAGTGCTCAGAAAACCGTGTCCCTTATAGTCTCTGCAAAGTAAATGTCATCGGCTCTTAAAGCCAGGTTTGTCTCGGCACAAAGGCCATAGAGAGCCAACACACATAAACACACAGCTCAGGTCGTGTGGATATGGCAGGAGCATATCGATCCGTATGAGAATGTGTAGATGAGGTTTGCTGCCATGTAAGGCCAGACCTTGGCCTTTCATATTCCTCTGCCTTTCTAATCTCGTTTGTCTCTGTGTCCTTTCGAGGATAAGCAGCAAAATGAAAAGAGAACAAATTGGTCTATATTGTAAAATATTGTAAAAAAAATAATAAATAAAAGTTATATTAGGGGAAACGGTTATTTGATGTTATAGAACAGGGTCAGATTTAATACTTCGGAGTTTAAGGTAATCAATTAAAGTCTGTGGAAATTAAAGTGGTCGAATAAAGAGCACGATGGACATTTTTTAAAACAGACCATTACAGTCCCAGTGTTTTGTTTGCCTGCTTCTGAAGTTCATTATGTCCGCAGCATTACACGGTTGGACAGCCACACTTGGAGGCATTAGTGTCCTTTTGTCTGGACACACGTCACGCACACGCTTTTGACATTGACTTCACATCAGAGATAATTTAACTTTTTTTAACTCGTTCAACCGAGCGCCGGGTCCATTATGGGGGCCCTGACAGATGCGGGACCCCTAGCAGGTCCAGGACAGGGAAGAAGTCTGAAAGGTTAATCTGTCCCCCCGCAGATGTTGGCTTTAGGAGTCTTGAAGCGTCACCTTTGACACGTCCCCCATTCAGCAGGGGGTCCAGCAGGACACTGACCGCTACAAGCTGTCACCTCGGCCGTCCGAGGCCGCTCTATTAGGCTAAAGTGGCCCTGACGTGTAAGCAGGGGCCGGGCTTTACCAGGACGCACGTTTGGGAAGCTTGATCATACCCGTTCTACAACAGCATCATGTTACGTGTCAGCATGCCATTTCCCCCAACGGCCTCGAATTTTATACAGATGTGTGTGTTTATGTGCACATTTAGAATTTTGTCAACAAAAATAAAACTGCCTTTGAATAACTAACGTATTTTTTATTTGTTTAATGCCACTGTGTATGTGTCAAATGTTTCTACTTATCTTTCTCACACTTAAGGATTCAATGAGCATGTGTCCAACCCCAAACAGGACACGCGTGTACACACAGAGCCTCCACTGGAGCGCATGCATACACTGATGAACACACACATACCGCTGGGCTTGGTTCGTTAAGCCTAATAGTTGAACAATAGACACATCTGCTCATCTTCTTCTATGAAAGGAGAAGGCACTACGGTCGTGTTCGTTTGGTTAAACCGCCACATATTTGGCAGGGGTGTGGGGGTGGGGTGCTGCAGCTGAACTACCCCGACAGGAAGGATCCAGGCCTCCTAAGGTATGAATACATAGGGGAGGTTCTAAGTTTATCGACAGCCCATTAGCTGATAATTAAATCATCACGCTTTTTTTTTTTGGTATTTCTGAGACCTGCTTTGCTGCTTTCCTCCGAAGAATGAAGTATTTCTGAATTCCTGATCCCACTAGTTAAAAATCAACTCCGAATGAACCCGGAAGTTTAATTTGTACTTAATGATTTAAGGAGGACTGAAGAGAAAGCCTCATTATAGCCCAAATGAATATAACATTATACTAAATAACAGCTGATAATGGAGCATTAGCCGCTGTGTCCAGACCATTTCCATGGGTCCATTCAGTGAGGGCTTAAGTAGAGATCCGTCTATTTGCATTTTTAACGTTACAGTAAAGGCTACCGGCTGCTAAATATGGGTTATTGGGGAGAACAGCCCTTAGCAGGAGGCTTGGTGCCGCCCGTCCTTAATAAGGTGGCTGACGTCATAACAATAGGGAGGTGTGTGGGCCCGTGTGTGTTTGTCAGGTAGAGGGGGAGAGAGAGAGAGAGAGAGAAGGGGAGGGGGTGGGTGTCCACAATGCGCATGTGTAAACAGCGATCTGTGCTGCGGTGGAAGAGGGGCCGGAGACACACAACTAGAGAGATGGCGCGGCACCGACCGGGGCGCAAGGACAGCTGGTTGGTGGTGGGGGGGCTTGAATTATAAAGGGAATCAGAAAAAGAAAAAGTATCGAGGAAAAAAGGAATTCGGAAAAAGAGTTTCCATTTTGCAAAACAGCATTAGAGTTAAGAGAATAAACAAATAGGAGGAGATTAAGAGAAAGGGGAGGAAATAGAAGAAAAGGTTTCTGCAAGAGGAAAAAAGGCAACAAAAAAACTGAACTTTATTGGACGTGAGGACTTCTGGCCATCAGCGAACTGCAGTAGGTCAGATAGATGGTTTGTCCACAGCGCTGCCCGGATCATGAACGCACAGCTGTCGATGGAGAATATTGGCGACCTGCACGGCGTGAGCCATGAATCCGTGGCCGGTCACGGAGAGCTGCTGAGTGGCCACAGTCCACATTCCCGTCCGAACGCTCGGGGTCTGAGCCACCGTGCAATGGGCATGGCGACCCTGCTGGACAGCGGAGACTATCACCCGAGCCACCCCGGACACCTGCATCAAGCCATCAGCATGTGTGAAGCCCCCCCTGGCATGAGTGCAAGCAGCACTTACACCACCCTAACCCCTCTTCAGCCCTTACCCCCCATCTCCACCGTGTCCGACAAGTTTCCTCCCCATCATCACCACCACCATCATCCCCATCATCCTCACCCTCATCCCCACCAGAGGATCCCCGGAAATGTCAGCGGCAGTTTCACGTTGATGCGAGAGGACCGGAGTCTGGCGCCTATGAACAGTCTGTATCCAGCATATCATCACAAGGATCCGTGCATGGGTCAGAGCCTCTCTCCGTTGTCTGGTTCCGGTCTGGCCAGCATACATACCTCCCAGGCCGGCATCCCTCCTTACGCTCATCCCGGTGCCGCCATGCCTGGTGAGAAGATGCTTACCCCCAGTGGGTTTGAGGCTCACCACCCGGCAATGCTCAGCAGACACACGGAGCAGCACATGAGCTCTTCAGCGGGCATGGTACAAATCAACGGCCTCCATCACCACCCTCACGCCCACCTTGGCGCGCAGGGGCATGGGCAGGGGCTGGGGAACAGCCGGGAGCAGGCCTCCGGCCCCGGACAGCAAGGGGTCGGTGGTGGAGGGGGTGGTGTTTCAGGGGGACAGATGGAGGAGGTGAATACCAAAGAGGTGGCGCAGAGGATCACCACAGAGCTGAAGCGCTACAGCATTCCTCAGGCCATCTTTGCCCAGCGGGTCCTTTGTAGGTCCCAAGGGACCCTGTCCGACCTGCTGAGAAACCCCAAACCCTGGTCCAAGCTCAAGTCCGGTAGAGAGACCTTCCGCCGAATGTGGAAATGGCTGCAGGAGCCTGAGTTCCAACGCATGAGTGCGCTCAGGCTCGCAGGTGAGCGAAGCCTCGGTAAAGCCCCATTTTTGCTTTCATCTTCTGAATGTGTCGCTGAGAAAAACTGACTCAGACAGGGGCGTTAATTCAGCGTAGAGGACCACTTAGCGCGAATGCTACCTTAAGCTGAGCAATGGGTTGAGTGGCCTGGGATCGAAAGATGATCTTATAGTTTTACCACAGTTTACTCCGAATATAGCCTAAGGGTAACATTCAGGACAAATGCTCCATCTAGGCTGATAGTACTTTATTCAAAAACATAGAACGCAATTTGCCCAACGATGTCCAGAATTTATACCTCTATAAAAGATGTTGGATGTCAAATTATAGGCGCCAGGCCATGCGCTACGGTCTGGTGAACTGACGAGCCTGGTTTCTTCAGATGTGAACCCCATATTAGAGATATGTGCCTAGAGAGGTTCTGTAGGATGGTCCAGATTCAGCATTGCACAGTGTTAAACAATAGGTGAAATGCTGACTTCTTCATCAAATGATCCCAGCGAACCAAATACATGGCCTGATATCAATCCGCATCCCTTTTCTGTTTCTGCACTGGTTTGGGGGTTGTGTGAAACAAGTGCTCATGTCATTTTACCTCAAAATATCGACCGCTGGACTGTGTGCGTAAGTTGATCCTTCATCCAGAAATCGTTAGGAATGTGTTTATTTTGGTGTAGATGCAACCGATCAGCCTTTTTGGTGTTGCCCTCGATGTAAACGGAAAGAGAGAGAGAAAGTGTCTAGAGAGTCTGTGATAAACTAAATTTAAATGTCAAGTGAAGGTGGAATCATGCATTATTTAGTTGGTGAAAATGGCTTTGGCAAAATTATAGGCCCTAATTTCCCAGCAGAATAGGCAGAACAGAACAGAACGGAATAGAAAATAAAAGAATAAAGAGCATGTGTCTTTGTTTTGCTCGTAAACTAACTCTGACTTGACTGAGGTTTCTCTAATTAACTGATAGACCTCTGTATTAATTTGTCCCCGAGGTACGCGCCAGTCAATTAGCGCGTGCAGTAAGACCCAAATCTCACACGTGCGCGTTCACAGACACCCGATGGAGTTTCTTAACGTCTAAAGGTTTAATCAATGACCTACAAATGGGTTTTTTTGGCTTTCAGGAAAAGGTGAGACTGTTGCTACATTGTGGAAAGTGCGTGTCTGCGGGCGCGTATGGGTGTGAGCATGTGAGTGTAGCCTAATCCCAAATGATTATTTTTCAGTTTTATCATCTGCTGTGTGTGTGTGGGGGGGGTGTTAATGGTATAAGGATGAGAGTCTATCACTGACTTTGGCAAATGAGTAGAAAATAAAAATTTTCGAAGCTGGGTTGGAATTTGTTTCATCATTTTGATCATTAATATGACCAATCTATAATTAAAACAAAAAAATCAATTTGTTTGGATCATGGCGTGGTTTGTAAAGGAACCTATTCATGTTGGCTATACATGGAAAATAAATGTCTCACACCTGCTTCAGTTGTGTTCATTATTATTATTATTTTTCATATTATGTTTTTTTGAACATTTTCGTTTTATTTCAAAATTTTAGGAGAAAAATGGCTCACAATATAATACAAACTACTCTTCGGCAAATATTTAAAAATATAAAATTCTAGGTTTTCATTAGAAACTGGCCAAAATAAAGGTTATGAGAGGGAAAAAGTTTACAGTTAAAAACTAAATTAATTTGAAGAGAATGGGCTGAGCGCCATCTTATTGATCCGTTGGTGAACCAAATATGTGATCGTGTGCTGAAGTAGATGTGATATACTTATTGATTTTAGGTGTCTGAAATTAATCTCTGGCCTTTTCTGTTTTCCCACGTATTCAATTACTCACCTGAATTTGCCTGAATAGAACAGAATAGATTTGGAAGGCAGATATGATTTGGCACAGGACACAATTGAGAGGTGAGAGTTCAGACTTTGCAGATCGGTTGTAATTTCAGTGATATTGTTGATTGTTTCCTGTCGTTCGTGGAAATAGTGTCTATATTTACCATATTTATCTGCTTCCAACACATACAATGCGTTTTTCCGCATGAATATTTCGAGGTTTGGTTTTCCAGGTGACTATTTTTGTTGCATTTTCAGCACAGAGGTCTGTTTGTTGTTCTCTCTGTGAGATTATGAAACGAAGGACTATCGTCACACCGTATCAGCAAACCCTGTCTATGCTCTGTCTGTTTGAGTGTGTGGAGTTATCTGTGTGTTTGTAATGATTAGCCCGGAGCAGCAGTGTGTGTGTGTGTGTGTGTGTGTGTGTGTGTGTTATTAGCCTGATAACGAGGCCGTCGTTGTGTCCCCCTGGTCCTGGGAACGCGGTCTGTCTGGTGCCGACCTGTGGTCGTTCCTGCTGTCTGAGTGGCCTTCACTCCTACTGATTTATAGCAGGTCTTACACGAGGTGCTCCGACTCTCTGTTAATATTTACCGGTACTGGTTCATACTCACAATCATACTCCAGTATATGTTCATGTGGACAGGCCTGTGCACTGTAGAGAGAGACTATGTGCTAAACCGAGGTTATAAGGCGAGATCAGCTAAATCACCATGATCAAAATCTATTAAGACACGGTTTACTGCTGCTATACTAGACTATTTGAAACGCAGTGACACAGATGGAGCATCTAAACTAAAGACCAAAATATTAGCTGAAGACCACAGTGATGTGAAGTCATTTAAAGGCACGTCTGGCTACAGTTTCCTCAGCCTGTGTGATACAACATCTTACAAAGTAGTAATTCAACCATTCTTTTGGCAGTTATCTTTATATTTTGTGCTATATGCGTTTCATTGGTTGTTTAATTGGTTTCCTTTGTGTAGTGAGGTTTTCTATAATGAAATGTTTTTATTCACTCGGTGCATTTTTACAGAATTAAACAGTATGGGTTTAAAATTGGTTCGTGGTTCGAATGTGTCTTTATTAATTTCCCAAGTGAGTCTATATTGGCTCTTGATCCAGCAGCCCACGTCTGCCCCCTCCTGGTCTCTGGCTCAATAATCAACCTCGGTTTGCTTGGTATATTGGGTGTATTAGGTCTTATAAAGAAAATATTAAAATTAAATAAGATCAGCTGAAGGGAGATTTGATTTGCTGTCAAACGGACTCCCAGGTCCGTCTTTCCATTATTCAGTCATCTATAGCTCGTTTTCCCAGAGGCTTTAGAGGCGTAAAGTCGCTTTCAGCACCCTGGACAGCGTCCACAGGTTCCCCGTGGGGCTGCTCTGGTCCGTGGACCACAGGATGGGACGAAATGTGGACTAGTCGCGTTCTGTAGTTACTTACCATGCAGCCTGAACCTAAGATAAATATGGCTTTGATAAGACGTTTTACAATATCAATTCCACAACTAGAGTGTCAGTGTGCAATTAGTACTTCTTAATTTAGTGATGACAGTTCACTTGCTTGTTTTTTTTTTTTACACACACTGAATAAACGAGGAGGGCTTGTTATTCAAATTAGCTGCTGCAATTATAGTTTGGAATGTATGCATCAGATGCATATTATTGTCATTGTCAGCCAGTATTAACTTTCTTTAATCTAAGAAAAAGAGGTATTCTGAAGATAAAAACAACAACATATTAGCAAAACAGTGAATTGTCTTTTTCTAAGTGTCGATGAAAAGAACCTGAAAGACAAATTTATTTTGCACCTGCTTTGAGTTGATTATGGTCGAAATGGATTAGGATACCTCAGATACTGGTGCGGACACTAAATATCCATATCACTGTGTCCTAGTTAGAATGTGATGTTGATATGTGAGAAACCAGTCTGTGCAGTTGATTTATTTATTCAGGGCCTTTTCTAATCCAAGGCTGAGATGTAATGGAGAAAATATTCTCAAATCTTCTGGCATAATTCATGTTGTTGTTTTTTTTACACAAGTAGCCTCTACTCTATAGTACTCTCACAAACTATGTCTGTCTCTCTTGTGAATTCTCCCCAGCATGTAAACGTAAAGAACAGGACCATGGCAGAAACGAGCGGGGGAATGTGACCAAAAAGCCCCGGCTGGTGTTCACAGATGTGCAGCGACGGACGCTCCATGCCATCTTCAAGGAGAACAAGCGTCCATCCAAAGAGCTGCAGCTCACTATCGCCCAGCAGCTGGGCCTTGAGCTGGCCACAGTCAGCAACTTCTTCATGAACGCACGTCGCCGGAGCCTAGATAAGTGGGTGGACGATGGCTCCAGTCACGCAGCTAACTCTGGCACCAATCCCTGCACCAAAGCCTGAAAACAGACTGATTTGACTAACTCATGGACTGACTCAACCTCGGTGGAAAAGCTTTAAAACCTAAGAGAAACAAAGAGAAACTTAAAAAGACCTTGAAGCAACATTTTGCCCTTAAACCTGTACTATATCGATATTTATAGTATCCAAAGATGAAAAAACAAACCAAAGACTTCTTGTTTGACCTGCTTTGAAATGTTCATTTCAGTAACTGCAAAACACTATAATTTTGCCCTCCCTCACACACACACACACACACACACACACACACGCTCACAAACACTGGTCTCTAGCTTTACTACACCCCCTCACTTCCCCCACCCAATATCAATCTATCATTCGCCATCATTATCTTGAATGTGATTGGTTTGTTTAAATGATGGGTCCCTAAATGAAGGTTTAATCAGCCTATTGAGAGTCTGATCTGCAGCTGTCCACACCCTTGTAAAACAGCCAAAAAAATGCTGAGCTCTGGTGGGATTGGTCAATCAGTTTTAAAGAAAAACACCCTATGGAGCTAAAGGACTGTTGTGCAAATTTTCTTGGATCAGATGTGGTGGACTGTCTATCTAGCCGTCTGCTTGTCCAGCTGTGTCTTTCCATTAAGCATTCCAGAAAGACAGTTTAACGCCCATGTGTAGACTGCTAACCCAGAACCAACATGGCAACCCTAAACCAAACCAAAAATCCCAAACCTCAACCCACATAGTAGTGCTTTCTTCCAACATGCTGAAGCGTTGAATAATTTAAAGAAAAGAAACCAAAGCCTTCTACACCCTGAAGCCACTTATGCATCTTAAAATAAAACCACTTAAGAATGTGTTAAGAAGGAATTTGACCAAAGAGTATAGTTTGTTGTCGATAATCTTGAGCGTATTTTTACCTCATTTCCTCCCTTACCTCCTAAAACAGACTGTTAGTTGGGCAACACAAAAAAGAGAATGTTACTGCTCCATACAACATTTTGAGTCACACTTAAATTTGTTCCCTGTATTATATAACACAACCTATTGACATTTGCCTTATAGATGCCTTCTTGAATCAGACCAAACTATTCCAGCTTTGTCTTCACAGTCAGTCTAGTGAATGTTACTGTAGATGCTGTTTGTGAAGATGAATTGTTAAAGATGCCACCTCCACAGTAGGTCTGTTTCTCTGTTGCCTACAGGTTTAGCTCCAGTGTATGTGTTCAAATATCAGTAGCTGGCAAACAAAGACAAATCCTTTGTGTAGTGTGTTTTCTCTGCAACAGTGAAAACACAAGATGCTGGCTCTATGTACGGTCATGACACCGTGAGGGAGACAGATATACTCTGATGTTTTTTTGTTTTGTTGTTTGTTTGTTTGTTTTTTTGTTTGTTGGTTTAAGGACAGACAATGGCACCAGTGTGATAATAAGCGTTCAGCGTTGCTCTTGCTTCTCTGTGCACTTCATTTTATCTCCTTATCAGAGATGCTGGGTAAAGGGGATGATATCTACAATCAAATAACTTTCAGGCACTTACACAGCAATGTCAGCTCGTCACCTGAATACGAAAGCACTCCGTCCCTGTCTCTTGCCAATCCCCCACCCCCTACCTCCCTCATTCCTGCCTCCACTCTCCTGGTAAGCTATGCATTTCAGCACTAGGAGGAAAGCACTACACAGGGCTGGCCCAGTTCAGCGTAGCATTAGATAGATTTTAGCCGGCCCCTTGCCATCATCCTCCTCATGGCCAGGGTTAGCAGCTCTACATTCACCAGAACAAGCTCTGAAGAAGGGTCAAAACAGAGAGCTGTGTCACCAAAAAGATGACAAGAAACAAAAAAAAAATGTGTCAAGACCTGCTGATGTTTTATAGTGTGAACCAAAGATGCTACCTCACTCAAGTTCCATACGTGATTTCTATCACTTTGATGATACCAAAGATAACCAAAGATTTTTTTCTCATTGCACGGCCTCTATGAGTGGTGTTCAAAGATGTTGTATGTCTCCCCTCCCCCCATCTCCCCTCTCTTCCTTTTTTCTACCCTCCCCCCACCTGCACTCAACCCATGCACCCCTGCTCTGTGTGCTCTTGCTTCATCTGTGCTCTGATTACAGCTCCATAGATAGTCATGCTGATGTATCTATAGGCAGATATGCAGCCATAGATACACACACTCGGCTATGCAGGTGCCAGCAGGGTACGACGAATTTGATAGCAATGTGCTTAGTCTTTGGTCTGCTTGTTAACTACACAAAAGCATTGGTTCTTCCACTGTGTTATCAGAAAAAAAAAGTTCAAATGTAAAAACAAGCAATGTGCCAAGCTCACAAATAAGTAAAACTAGGGTTTTACTTTGGTTTATGAATCAATATTAAATATTTGATGTGAATTTGATGGAGTACCCTGTTAGCCAGCCTTTTTCTTTTTTTTTTTTTTTGTTCTTTTTCCTCTTGGCCCTGCCCGTGAGTGTGTATCTATAGGTTGATACCATTGATCCAACAAATAGGTCAGACATCTTCATGTGATAACAAGTAGACAACTTGACTTAGCCATGGGCAGAACTGTTGACTCAACTATAGGCGGACATGTTCCTGAAAGTAGAAGCAGACGTGTTGCAATCTTTCTAAAACTCCCAGGACGAGTGCCTTGCTTGAACCAAAGTGTTATACCACTGTTGACCTCTCACCTTTGACTCTGTGAATACCTCAGCCTGTAGAAGGGCCACTACTGAAAAAACAAGGAAAAGGTTTTTCTTTCTTTTTTTTATCACACCGTGGTGCTTTTGCCAGCGCAACCATGCAATGAAAACATACCAAAGGAATTTCTGTTGTCCACTTCTACAGATTAAACCAAAGGTCTTTGTTTCTCCTCTCCCCTGCCCCCCCCTTACCTCTCCATCCCTCCTTCACCTCCAACCTCCCTTGTCTCTCTGCTGTATGTAGGAATGTCCAGCACTCTGGCCGTGCATGTCTTTACCAATGTCTCTGAATACCTCATAGTAATAATTCCTTTGAGTTCTGCATAGAGACATTTATCTATGAGCAAGGCAGAACTCCTCTCGTGTAGTAATTGTTAATGCTACTTCAAAAAGCTGTATGATTGTCTATTTTGAAGTTGTTTTTTGCAGAAGTGCTTTGTTTCAAGTCACGAGGGGCAAGTTTCAGGGTTGATGTATGAAACTTAAGGGATGGAGGGAGAAGCGTATTTTTTATCAGACATTGGGTTATGCCAATATTATGATCGTAGACTATTGCTTTTACAGGGTAAAACCAACTGCTGTGATATTGTGTTCATATTTCCCTTTTCTCTATTTCTGTGTTGTGATTTTAATTTAATTGCATTTTTGTATTGGTTAACCACTGCTTTAATTTATGCATTTGTAGAAACTCTAGATTTGTATATAGTAGATTTTTGAAAAAACAAACAAAACAAACAAACAAACAAAAACAAATGAAAATGACAGTTTTATGTTATGGCCTTATTTCCCATACTTAGATATAACAAAGGAGTAGTTTGTATTCTTCTTCAGCTAAATCCTTGCCGGCATTTCAATGTGTGTTTTAAACACTGCCAGAAACCTAAACAGTTGATTTGCCAATGCAGACAAAGTTATACATGAGCTACTTTGTTGAATAGCTGGCAAAAAAGCAGTGTGTAAGTGTGTGTGTGATTTTTATTCTTTTGACTTCTTGAAAACTGTTACTTTATTGGTGTTACTGCACATCCAAAGACTTTTAAAATAAACCAAAAATTGGGGGAAAAAATGTATAATGTTGAAAAGCACTGGCATTTGTGAGATAGATTTGTTGAGTTTTGATTTGCCATTCGCACGGGTATAGAATGTAGAAGGCGTAGGACTGTGTGGACAAGCTTACTCTACCATGTGGGGAACCTCCTATTTAATGTACAATCTGCATTTGAAACGAGGGCTGCAAGTCCCGCTCACTTTGCTGTCTCATACACAGAGTGAGGTGGAGTGGAGGCCGGGCAGCCGGTCTGCCAGGGGCTGTGCCATGGAGCTGGGTCTGTTTATACTGCCATGGCACTGCCGCCTCGCTCCATCTAGTATCTGTTCTTTTGGTACGTACTCGTGTCATGACTATGAGCAAAGTCTAATAAAACTGCAAAAAACCTTACCGCAAAATCAGTGTGTGAGTGTGTATGGGGACGATCACCTGCATTGCTCATCTCTTTTTCTGTCTGTGATTGTGTGTGTAAATCAAATGTTGAGTGCTGCTGTGGCTGTGTGTAAGCTCATTTGCATGTATTTCTTTACTGTGTGTTTGTCCATTGTTAAATCTGTTTCTACTGCATATCGCAAGGTATTAGGCAAGGTATTATCTGGTACGCGTGAATGCGTGGGATCAATTGGTGCATCAGCAAACAGTTTAAAACAGTAAATTTGACTCACTCTGTTTGTCAGAGGCTCCACTGTTAGTACTGCTTCCTTTCTATCATGCTCAGACAGCACAGAGTCTCCAGGGATGGAAGATCATCACAGAAATGTTTATGTCATGCAGTCATTGTGTCACAGAATGGAAAATGTGGAAGTACAAGTGCTTACATTATACATGCCTATTAAAGTAGACGATGCAGTGTGGACGTATGTCTTCCCCGTTTTCCTATATCTTTTTTTTTTTACTAGTCTTCAGC